GTTGTCGGAAACTTCATCTTCACTATCACTCCATGTCGCCATCATGGCCTTATCACATTTCTGACTTGACACTTTGTTGTTTGCACACTTAGCCGCACAATAACTATTACCACCACATGCAAAGCAAGGTCAATGTACATTTGAGAAAGACTTGTCCCTTCTATCAGTAAACTTCTCTTGTTTTCTTCCAATGTTGAGCATTTCATGGGGTTGAGTCATGTGATTTGTTGATGATTCTATATTCCTTTTGACCTCCTTGCCCTTGGTTTTGAGTATCCTTTTGAACTATTTAACAAATAAGGCAAGATCATCTCAAAGGATTGATCACATGATTCATTTTCAACACAACTATTTCTCACACTTTGAAAAACAATTTCTTTATTTTTCTTGGAATCACCTTCTTCTATGTCAAGCTCAATTTCATAAGTTATGAGTTTACCCACCAATTTTCCAAGCTTAATCTCATTTAAGTCTTGAAATTCTTGAATAGTTGCCTTCTTTGGTTCAAATCTCTTGGGCAAAGTCCTCAAGATCTTTTGAACAACAATTGTCTCATCAATAGACTATCCCAACCCCAAGGCCTTATCTATTAACATTTCTACTTTTCCATAAATGGTCGAGAAAGTCTCTGACTCAAACATTCTTACATCCTCGAACTTAGACTAGATCATCTGAAGTTTAAGCTCTTCTACTTGTTTGTCTCCTTCATGCAAAATTATGTGTTTGTGTCGAGCTCCCAAAGATCACTCTATGTATATCTAGAGCAAAGCTCTGATACCAATTGAAATTAATACTAGGTGGAATAACTTGCAATTTAAAATCTATATATGTGCTTGTTTGACTAGTCAACAACACTCATCAACTAAGTTCAGATTGTTAGTTTACTCACAACGGAAGAAGTCAAATTAAATTTCAGGTTACTAAAAAGTTCCAAGTTAACTCAAGTCCAGTTTAGTGTACATTTTAATATTGACAAGCTTAGTTGCAAGGACTTATCTATTTGTGGAAAATGATGAGCATATACCACAACCAAAAGGAAGATAAGTAAACTAGTATAGCGATAAATTGCACTGGATGCTTTTGGCTGGAAAAACCCACATCTGGGTTAAAAAACCTAAGACTCTCCATTAAGTCCAATCCACTAGTGAAAAAAAGATTCTTACAAAGTAACCACATAAGCTCAATTCCTAAATCCTAATCTACAGAGTAGCTTGTACCTTTGTGCAACCTTGCCTTTCACGAGATAGACTCATTTGGTATTTACGAAGTGGCAGCTCCTCCTGAGCTCTTCACCTTGTAGCACTGAAATCCAATCAACTTATGCAAATGATATTATGATGAAGTTCATGTAAATCTAGATTCGATGTCTAGTCAGTTTCACTAGTCAAACACTTGAAAGAAATAACGCGAATCCAAAAAGAGGTCAATTCAAAGATTTGAAACTTAGGAAAAACTTGACTTGAAACAAAGATCATAATTACAAAAGCAATGCTACCCTAATATGCAATGATGTAGGTGTTTAGTGTATGAATGATTTTGTGGCTAGGGTTTTCAAGTAAGAACCAAAGGGTAGCTCCAAGCTGAAATCAACCTTTTTCAGAAAATAAACTCTCACAAAAAAATTGAAATGAAACCCTAGATTGTGCTTTTATAGTGGGCGGATGTTTCAAACAAAGAGGGGCTGGAAAAGCCATGTGTCATGTGCAAAAGCAATAAAAAAAGATCTAGGGTTGAAAAGCACTCTTGGGAAAAAAAACTGTCAGAAAGCCCATGTGGGTTGTCTTAAAGTGTGTGCCCAACTTGCGTGGCAACAACAAGAATATTTGACAAGACAAAACCACTAGACATAATGACTAGAAATAATGGCATGAAATGCATATGTATGAACAAACCTTTGATGAGAGAAATTAAGCTTTTGAAGTGATATTTCCAGCAGCATGATCTCAGAGAAGCAATTAAAACCCTAAAACTAACTAGAGCATGTGTGGTATAGTTTACAACATTTGACAAGGGAAGCCAAACAATAAAACTAGACTTCACAATTTGGGGGTTTACTATGTAGCCAATGGAATATATCCCTCATGGTCCACTTTTGTCGACCGTGCCAAATCCACACCCAATGAAGGAAAAACACTTTGCAGCAAAGCCAAATGGGTACCTGAAGGATGTGAAGAGGTGTTTTGATATAATCCAAGCTCGTTGGGCAATCAATAAAGGGTCTGCTTGACTATGGAATGATGGGGCACTTAAAGGCATCATGATGACGTGCATCATCCTCCATAACATGATTGTGGTAGTAGAAATATGCCGTCTTCAGTCTTGATGAATTTGTACCTACATAATAATTAACACCTTTAATCAAAGACCAAAGCCTCACATGCCTACGAGCTGGGGAAAGGGGGTTTGGCAAATGGATCTCTAATGCCTAAGTGTTTAGTGCTTGTCTACATCGCAAAAGTTTACTAGGAATTTGGTGGAGATGAGGTATTTACAAGGAGAAGTGACTGGCCATACAGTTAGGGCTTTTGCTGGCAGCATCTGATTGGCCAAAGTGTGTCATCCTTCGGATGAATGTGAAAATAATACTCCCAAGATATTAATTAGGAGATAATATCTTGGAAGAAACGAATGAGGCTCATTCTCATGCTTAAATGTTAATTTGTAGTGTCTTATTTTAGTACTTTTGGTGTGTTTTATTTTATTATTTTGGTGTGTTTAATTTTAAACCTTTTATTTGCAAGTGTGTTCAACTTTGTAAGCTTTTTTAATTTTTCAAATTTCTTGTGATAGTTTTATATATTTTTTAGAGTTGAATTAATTCTGGGCACTGAATTTTTCAATTTTTTTAAATCTGATGCACCACGTGGCGCAGCCCCAAAAATTTTAATTATTTTTACCGTTGAGTTTAGGGTTTAGGATTTAGACAAGTACACCTTGGGACGGACGCAAGTGTTGTTCATTGTTGTTTCATCAAATATTAATCAACTAACCCTTTACTCAAAGTTTCAAACATCTAAGCACAAATAGATAGATTGTATTTTCTCATCATATTGGTGCATATAGCTTTCAATAAGCTTGTGAGTAGGAGGCTTTGTGCAAAATATTTCTATTTCTAAAGATGCATTATCTAAAAGTAAGCTTTTGCTTTTTTATAAAGGAAAACTAATGAAAATGACTTGAAAATTTTGAGTTTTAACAATAAAGACAAAATAAAGGGTAAAGTGAATAGTACCAAGATTGACTTTTTAGTATAAAAATATGATTTTCGTTAAAGTTAACAACAGAAATATCGACCGTATCGAAGAAATTTTAAACACTGATCGATATGTTCAGGGGAGAGCACTCGCTTTCCACTAACTCCTCGTATTCTTTTAAGTTTTCCCAATTGTTTGGGTAGAAATAGAAGTAGCCAACCCACCATCCACTAAAATCATGCCAAACTTTGAATCTTCTTAGCTTTTCATGTGTAAATGCTTCACATGGAGATGGAAGTGGTATCCATACACACATCTTTCACCTTCCAAAAGGGATATCTAAAAGTTTTACAGACAAGCTAAAGTGGGCACTCTTTGCCATTTGCAAGTGAAAGTAGGACGGAGAATATTTTTGTATAGAGAAACATACACCTGAATTTTACTACGCTAATAAGCCCTTGAGGTTAGCCCGATAGATTCAAGTTAGAGAGTGAGAAATAATGAGTTAGAACTAAGATTCAGGCTCGATTCTCTCCAATGTAACAAAAAAATAGGCTGAAGTGCGGATTTAATTCCTAAATTATCATCTCAGTGAAAATTAGATCTCTAAATTATTTTTTCGGTAAAATAAGCCCCAAATTCATTAAAATTTGCTAATTTCATCCCTAATATCATATTCAAATATATTTTATTCAATTTTTCATTAACTTAAGTCACTTAACACACTTTAGAGTGTAATACCATCACTTTCTCGCCTATAAGCCAACATTTCATAAAGGTTGCGAATCTAACGTCTAATTTACCCTCCAAAGTTAACTCCAATTATCATCCAAAGTTAACTCCATACAGTATTTCTTTATGTAAAATTATCAATCTACCCTTCAATGTGTATCACATGCAAGTAGAATGACTTAAATTGACGAAAAATTGAATATAGTAGCTTCAAATATAATATTAAAGATGTAATTAACAGATTTTTATAATTCAATGACTAATTTTTCTGAAAAAAATAATTTAAGGACCTAATTTTCACTCATGATATTTTCTATCAGAAACTAAATTAGCAGTTCACCCATAAAAATATACTACCATCTTGACCTAGATCTAGTCTTTAAAGGCTTTTGATGCCGGTTGGTTATGCAAAACATCTACCCACATGTATGAATGAATCAAAAAGCCTTGAGGGCTATCTGTGACTCATTAATTCAGCATCACATTTGTTTATTATGTTAATCAAAACTCTCTTTCCTACTAGCAGCATTATCAGAGAGAGAGAGAGAGAGTCTTACACACTTTAATAAAGCTCAGAAATCATGTCTTAATCACTTTTTATGAGTGATTAGTGTGTGAAAGTGAGAACTTTAAGGGGACAAAACTCCTTCCTCTTGTACTCTTGTGCTTGATTTATGTCAGAAATAAAAGACTAAATACGAGTGGCTCTCACTCCCAGTTCCAACAGGAAGAGACCCACATCCACATAGATACTATTGTCCCAAAGAGAACACCAAAAATCTTTGCTACCCAAGATACCTCTCTATCTGGTTTTCTATTTCCTTACTTTCTTAAACCATTATTGCTAATTCTGTGGGCCCCAAATCTACCCCACCACAAATTAAAAACCAATGGGCAATCAAAACTAGAGTAACTATATCCCCACTTCCAAGACAGTCACATAAATTTTTTTAGCTGCATTCATCTTTCTGAAGCTCATCATTCACTCATCTCCACTCAGCATTTGCATATTTTTACCGGTAGGTTGGTTCTCTATCTTTAATGCCATTCATACCTACTTGACATGAAAGGGTTTACTACTTACTGCAATTTTCTCGTGGGTAACTAACTTATCTCCTACATGCTAATAGGATATTCCAATCTAATCTTAACTACAAGAAGAGGGATTCGAACATGGGTTCAAGGAAAGAGTGAGCAAACTGCTCCGACCAACTTGGCTATGCTCAAGTCTGCAATTACATTTTGAAAACTAAGCAAGGTGAAGTTCTGAGTTACTGCTACATGCTAATAGGATATTCCAATCAAATCTTAACTACGAGAAGAGGGTTTCGAACATGGGTTTGAGGAAAGACTGCGCAAACTGCTCCAACCGCCTTGGCTAGGCTCAGGTCTGCAACTACATTTTGAAAAGTACTAAGCAAGGTGAAGTTCTGATTTACTGCTGATGCCCCTACAGATTATTCCAGAACCGGCTTTTCATTTGTCAATTCCTGCTCCATAACCTACAGATTCCTACTGATAATAAGAAGAGTTGTATAGTTGGTGGATAAGAAGCAATGGTGGCAGGCACTTGAGATAAATGGTTAGCATAATGTTTTTTACTAGTGAGGAATTGTTGTAGGACTGTCAACTCTGTAACTCTTCAGTTACTCCAAAAGGAAATATAAAGTTGGTGCCATTTGAGGAACAGAGAAAAGGAGGAAGATGAAAGTGGAGAATCCTAAGCTTTAAAGGGGCAACAGTGAAGATGACATAAGCAATGTCCCCTAGAGCACAAAGCATCACAAGGTGGGGTCCACTTCATTTAGATGAGATAAAATAAAACACAGGCTTTCTCCACTTTACCTTCTACTGCTTCTCTCCATTTCTTCATCTCTCTTCCTCTTTGATCTAACCCTTCAACCAGTCATCAACTTCCTTTCGACACCCGCACTTGATTTGAAATTGAGAAATGATCACCGAGGGAGAAAAAGAAAGTGAAACAATGTTAAATAAAGAGCGAAATAGAATTTCGATAAGCAACGATGACAGAGAAGAAACTGAAGATCTTAATCGAGGAGAGTGGCTGAACCTGAGCCTAGGTAGCCTTTCAACAGAAGGAGAGATGGACTCACAGGCAAGACCGAATTCCGGTAAGGTTTTCTCCTGTAACTTCTGCATGAGGAAGTTCTTCAGCTCGCAGGCATTAGGAGGTCACCAGAACGCCCACAAGAGAGAAAGAGGTGCAGCAAGAAGATACCAGTCCCAAAGAATGATGTCAATGATGGGTTTTCCTTTTGCTACTTCTACGGTTAGATCACTCAGCGTTCAATCCCACTCACTTGTGCACAAGCCAAGCAGAGATGAAACTTCACTTGTAGCGAGATTTAGTGATGCCAATGCAAGGTTTAGCATGATGCCTTTTACACTGGATGATGTAATGGATTCTATGTGGCCAGGCAGCTTCCGCTTGGATCCACAAGCATTAGAGCCGCAATCAGAGCCATGCAAGCTTGACTTAAACCTCCGACTCTGATCCACCCATCCTACTACCTTTATGACTACTATTTCGAAGAGGTTAATTATTTCATCTATCAAGTACAGAACTAGCGTAGGTTAGAGGCCTACTTGGAGAGTCACCTCTGTACTACCTAATGAACTAGTAAAGATACTGAGAAGTTCCTACTGTTTTAGGCATGTTGTAATATTCAAGTTATTTCCTATTCAATGACGCATGCAATAATCTCAAGAGCATTATATTTCATCGCAATGAGTTCTTTTGGGGTTTGTTTATTCTTCCCCTGATTATTAATCTCTAGTTTTGTTGTATATATAGCGCAAACAATATTATGGTTTTTCTTATTTGAGAGTAATGTTCTAGCCTAAAAGCTACCACAACCCAACCAGCTTTTACTTCTCAAAAGCTACATCCCTGAGGCCTTGAGAAAGGTCAAAGTATAATCATATTACCAACTTTATAAAATCAGAGAATTTGAAAGTAAATACATAATTCTGACAAATTTTGCATGCATGTGAAGTTTCAGTAGCCTGTAGACAGGGTCAAGACTGTACACCTAGATTGTAATCCAATTATCCGAAAGATAAGAGTCTTGCACTTAAACAACTTTATTCCCTTACCCTCTTAATATGAGAATGAGGAAATTCTTTCGCTCTTAACATGTACGCTACTTCTCTCAATCCCACCCAAATCAGTGCCTCTATGTGGTTCCTAACATTTCTTTTCTAACCGATTAGATGGCTAACGACTAATTCTTACATGATATCATGCCAACAGCAGAGAGAATGAGATCCCGAGCAATACCTTTCCAATCGAGTTTATCCTACCGGATACAGCAAAGGTGCTTACGAAGACATAAAAAATCCCAATTTCCCTTTTCCTATAGGGACTATTATATGTCAAATACAACATAGTATCTATTTGTGATGCCTACTAGTTACATGCATTCCCTCAGTTATCAGGTATCCTATACCATTTTCTTCAATTGATTAACAGAAATGATTTGCACACCCTCTCCTGATTAACACCTATATTTATTTCTGGCCTTTCGATCAAATAAAGCAAAGTAGAATCAATGGATAGAAATAAATAAGGGTGTGCAGAAGGGAAAAAAGGGTGTGCAAAAATCATTTCCCTTGATTAATATTTAATCAAGTATAAAATATAATACGGTGCTAAAGTTATTTCTTATGATAATATAATATGATATGATGCTAAAATTATTCTTATGATAATCTTTCTCAATTATTCTTATGATAATAAAAATGGGATAATCATTTGGAACTTCCTTTACACTACGATAAAGGGGTTGCAGTACATTTAGTTCCGCTTCTACTAAAGTTTATCTCCAACTCCTCACTAAGTATGAATTAATGAACCATAAAAACGCGAGCAATTGTAAGTGGACATTCTGTTTGTGGGTTAAGCTAAGATCTAAATGGACTCATATCAAAGTTTCAATTTTGCAAATATATTGCTAATTCATGTGCTATCGCTTTTGCTTTCTGGTATCAACAGAATTATAATAGAAGCATTGTATAAAGATAGTAAGACGAATTTAGCATAAAGTACAAGTTTCTCTCTCTGCTTTTCCAAATTAACTGAATAAGAGAACTTACTAAACATGAAAAAGAGTAAGGAAATATGGGAATTTTAAAAGAAGAGTTTACATTCAATAGAACCCAGCAAAAAAGGAAAAATAAGTCTTGCAGGGAGACAATTTACAACCTTACATATTACCAGGTACCTTTAGCTTTTGGGTCTTATGCATGATCACAGGAAGCCTTTGGCTGATGATGCTTGGATCATTGTAGGCAGAATCTTCAGAAGGGTATCCTTTCTGCACCATTTAATTATGAAATGAGAAAAGAAAACACTTTACGAAAGACATTAAACTAAGAAAGGCGCCAACAGGAAGAATGAAAAAGTCACTAGCAGGAACTGTTGGAAAACATATAGCCTTCAGAGGAAAAAAGCATTGGTTAGTTTATTAAGAAGCAGTTAATTATCTCAAGTCTATAGGATACGACAGAAATAAAGACAATTACCAGTGAAAGAAACAAGATGGGATTGTCCACGACAATAAACTTACAAGTGAAGACAGGGTAAAACAAGAAAACACACAGAAAGCCAAAAAAAAAAATTCCCCTAAAAAGACAGCTTTACAATCAAGCCAAAAAACTGACAAAAAAAATCAGGTCTTTACAATCTGTAGAAACCAAAGCCCATAGTGAAGACCATAAACGAACTTTCTCCTATTGCTATTCAAAGTCTTTGACCCAAAATATTAACTTATTTGAACGAAAAAAAAAATCACTCCTTGTTGTTACCACAAGGCACCCGAGTAGCCATGAAGCACTGATATAATGCTACAATACGACATGACATGGCGATACAGCTAATTTTTGAAAACAAGGGCACGATACGGCTAATAAAAAATAAATAAATAAATAAATAATATATATATATATATATATTTAGAACGTATTTCTAAGTGAGATAAAAATTTGATTTTATTCTGGTCGTTGGACTTTAGTCCTCATTTAAACCCAAGAATAGAAAGATTGTGGTGTCGTTTTTGTATACATAAACAAAGGAACGGCAGGTCGTATTTAAAAAGCCTGGACAACTACAGAACGATGACGTTTAGTCTTGAAAAGGGTTTTGCTGGTGATCTTCTTCACAAGGCCTTCCACATACGGATACCCAAATCCGCTGTCAGACATGGGAATACCTACATCCGTCAGTCAACGCCGTATCTATTGACACAGATACATATACAAGGCATATCGTATACAATCGAATATCCAATATGGGATATGCAACAAAACTGTCGTATCCATGCTTCTTAGCGTAGTAGAAAACAAGGCTTGACATGAAGACAATTGCATCCATAAGTCAACCGGATAAAAGCCCTAATTCAGAATTTCATAATACTACATGATAGAAACTGATACTGTATTTTAAATTCCAGCAAACTTCTACGCATAATCGTGTAAAAACTTTCATACTATTACTTTGATTTTCGGCTATTTATGAACACGTGACAAAATCTAATCAAGTTAGAAGCTCAAAACCTACAGGAAAGGATTGTATGATAAAAACTCCATCTACCAATGAAGAATCTAAATGATTGAACCTTGACGAATTTCTTAAGCAACCCACCTAACGGATAGACTGAAATCAAATTCAGAAAAAGTTTACTTGATACGCTGAAAAAGAGGATGGTGTTTGTTTATATCTTTTTAGTTGACACCTTGAAGAGCAGAAAACGCCTCTTCATTTTCAATAACTTATGTGAGATAGTGTCAGAAAGAAAGGTAGTAACATAATTTGTTTGCAATAACTGATTTGAACTTACTGCAGCTAAAGCCTGAAATGTGGCTTCTCTCCAGCAGCTTTCTCGAAGAATAATGGGATTTGCATCATCGCTAAAAGAACAATGCATTCGAGTGTCTCTTAGCCTCATTAGTGCCCCATCAACTCTAAGCTGTAAGAAGATCTCAATCAGTAAGTTACAGCATTAAGGAAACATAAAAGAATAGGTGACTGATATTATCACAAAGATCCCAACGAAGTATAATTAGTTAGAATATTTCTTAAATAAGCCCCAGAGGTAACCAATTAAGATCTTGTGCCAAAACGATTATCTACACAAAATATAAATTGATAAACTGTGTTTGGTTGGTATCATATAGGGGGGACAGAAGTCAATTCAGAGAAATTAAACTCACCCAAAATCGCAAGAGGAGAAACCAAGAACTCGGCATGACTCTCTAGAAAATCAAAATGTAACATGATAAGTCCTTCCAGCCACCTCATACCGTTGGAAAAGCAGATTAAGACACAACAGACAAATAGAGATCGATGACTTACCACTTTTACAGTTAAAAGTGACACTCCACTATCAGCCAATTCATCTTCATACAAAACCACCTGTTCAGTTACAAGGATGAGTTTGGTCATGGCAGGTATACATATAAGGAAGAGAATGTAGGTACACACATGTCTGCTCAGGCACAGCCTATAAATGTAGTTATCAGCCAGGATACCCACCTCGTCATAAAAGAGAATAGGCTCTTTCGAAGCCAATGCAACTACATCAATTTTTTCTTTGCAGTCCTCCCAATGAAGATTTCCAGTCTCCTTAGAGATCTCTCCTCTTTCAAGCTGCCACATAAAATAACAATTAAACATGTTATATCACTAGCATATTTCGTAACCAAACAAATAATGGAAAGGCACCATTCAGAAGCCCTGTAGCTCCTTCTTTTATACAAAGGTTGTTTTATACCATACTGCAACTGCAAGTTGCAAGAGAAATTAAACAAATAGTAATCATTTAGCCCGATGTGTAGGAGAAACTTGGCCAACTACTTGTGGAATAGTCCCAACTTCAGGCACAAAATTATAACAAAACAGAGAAAAAATTTGAAAATGCTCAATTATAGATAAAGAGAAAATATGCACCTTGTCCGCATCAAACTTAATGGTTTCACTTCCAGAGTACGGCGTTGTGAATGTATAATCATAGTCCAGTATAACTTGCTGGGAAGGTTTACTGCAAATTCAGAATAAGAATGTAAGACTGAAAATTTGTATCTCTATCAGTAAGAAAACAACTTACTCCATCCCTCAAGCAAGTTATCGAAAAGATAGAAAATACCCAAAAATCTCCCTCCCAAAACCTACAATTTAGATTCATGACCAACATGATTCGACTGGAGTTTAAATCACAACATAAATTAGAGAGAACTAGTCGAAATATATTTCTATCCTGTCTATTGAACTTATCATTCCCATTTAGGGTTTTTTGCTCTCATCCCTTAGAGGTACAAATCATAAGAAGGGCCTCCCAAAGCATCAATCATCCTTGAAACCGAAAGAGGTAGACATTTCCAATTGAGTGCCACAAAACTACCCACCAAAGAACAAAAATAAGAAAATCCCATACAAATACATAAAAGTAGCATATGGTGAACAATGTGGTTACGTTCGGAATTTCCATTGAGCCGCAGCAGGAACTTCAACCGGCGGCAGAGCTTCCTTCTTCCACCCCACCAGAGCATCAAATGCATTGAAGTGAATCGTGGCCCCGCTCTTCACATGGTTCAGGAACAATCCACTGTCCCCAAACACCATCTCCGGCATGTGACAAGTTTGAAGCTTTTGCTCCCACCTGCAACAACCCACATCACCAAAAATCCCTAAAACAACATAAACCTTGCAAAACTTGAAACTAACAG